GCCCTTCTCAACAGATCCTGAACAGATAAGAAAGGCAGATATGCATTTAACCTTTAGCCTTACTCGGCCACTTCCTCATTGAGCTCAGAATAAATTGCTTCTATTTTCGGAGATTCTGCCTAATAAGAAAAACTAATTGGCTCTTTCTCGCGAAAAATTGCGATTATTTTGATAGCGGTCGTCAACGCCATTTAAATCGCATTGCAATCGGCACGTCCTTTGCGTGCTCCTTGCAAGCTTTTTTCACAATTGGCCTTCCGTAAATAGCGCTCCGATGATGTGTCTTAGGGAACTCCCCTCTGATTACAGTAGGCCTCTTAATTATAATAATAACATGCAGCTACACTAGGCGAATCACCATGGGGTATGGTGAAGAGCCTTCCCAGGAAAAAAAGGGCGCAATTTCCACTGCACAAGTAATTTCAAAACCAAATGTACGCCACAAGGAAAGGACAAAGATCAAGGATTCACTCCGCAGTTCTAAGCCCTAAGGAGGGACCAAACATAAATTTAAAAATAGTAATCTTTTTGCCAGTGACGCGAAAGGCATGTAGAGCAGTCTGAACGGTCTGGAAAAAGCTTGCCTGGGAGACGGGTAATTTGCCGCTCCGCCGCGCGCGGCGTGGGCGCAGCGTTTTCTTAAAGACACATGGTACGCTCAAACACATTGAGGGTGTATGAGACTATCAGCCCCCCAGCTGTCGATGTGTCGTGGTCCCCCGCCCAAAACTGCACGGGGTCAGAGTACGGGGCCGTGGGAAAGTCGTAATTCCTTGCTACACCGCCCTTTCGCACTCACGTTTTTACTAACACCGTCCGCGCGGCGCGGTCGCGTGCAGCTCTCTTGGCTTTTTGCCAAGTCCTGTAATTGCGCTTTGGAATACAAGTACAACGCAATTTCTTTATGCGGAATAGCTACAAATAAGTGAGAAAAGTTTTCGACTTTTCACTTAGCTTGGATTTCTCAAAATGGAAGGAAACATACCTGCATAAAGGTCATGTTCCCGTTGCAAAGATCCTGTTGACAGCCACACACAATGTGTTGACTCTGTTCACCGTAAAAGCATTTATGTTGGGAATACTGTAATCATGACCCTATGCATAAAGTGTTTCTTAACGGACA